TCCTCCCCGGGCTTGCTTGTTAAGCGCATAATTAATGGCCGACACTCGGTTGCGTGGTGCGGCAGGAAGCTGAAGCTCGCCACGCGGCGCTCTGCCGGGCTGCTTTCGCACTTAGAGGCGAAGCGGCGATGGATGCGGCTGACCTGCGCGTCGCGCTGGGTGCCGCCGCCTGGAGCGAGCTGAGCGGGCACTGCCTCGGTCACATCCCTCAAATCGGGGCGCGCAGGGAACGGCACCGCTGTCCTGCAGGGACCCGCGTCGCCCCAGCCGTCCTCGCTCCCATCTCGCCACAGGCTGCGGCCGTGAGGCACCTGCCCGCAGCGCGGGGCCTCCCGGCTCCTTCCTCTCATTAATGCAAAGGAAAATAAACCCCGCAGCCAGCTGCCTTTGTGCCGCTGGCTGCGGCCGACGTGCCGCTCGCCTGTTCTTCTTGCAGACTTTTCCTGCCGTCCCTCCCGCCGTCCCGCAGCTCCCGCGTGGGGCCGATTCCCCGCGCCCTGCCCCAGCCCTCTGCCACCCTCCCGGCTGCTGTCTCCAGCATCCCCCGGCACGGGGCTTTGCCCTGCCCGGCTCCCGTTGGCTGTGGCACAGCGGAGAGCAGAGCCGTCCCGAGCCGCTTCCTCTGCAGCCGCCGTCTCTCTTTTCCTTCTGGCTCAGCCGCTTTTCAATGACCCCTGAGCCACAACCAGAGCCAATTTCCAGCCAGAACCTGGCGCTGGGCTCGCTCGGGGGGGATTACACCAGGCTGCAGGAATTGGGAGGGGGAGAGCCCGGCTGAAACCAAAGCCCCAGCCGTTCCCAACCCAAACAGACCGAGGTGACCCTGGGGACAGCGGCAGTGGCTCACAGCATCCTCACGGGGCTGGGTGAAGCGCTGGGAGCGCAGTCCCTGTCACAACCCGCAGGGCACGTCCACCCCGCAGCGCTCTGTGCCCCGGGGACGTGTCCTGGTGCTCAACAAGTGGCTGCACCACACAGAGCACACCGGCAGGATCCCCCCCCTGCTCACAGCGCTGACATCTCCCGTTTACCTCTCGTTCTGAGTCAGGACGAGAAAAGGAAAAGCTCTCAGTTTCCTTCAGGCTCTGCTCCAGCAGCCAGGAGACCCCCTCAAAGTGTTTTGTTTCAGTAACATTAAAACCTTGCACATAATTAATTTACATTTGCTGCAGAATAATACTCGCACTCGTTCCTTTCTTTGCACCAGTGACGAACTACTGGATTTGCCCTCAGCCGCTGCTTTGCTGGGCCTCACCCCGCTGGAAGGAATCTCTCCCCCTCCTCCACTTCCCAGCTCCTTTTCTGGGCTCTCACCCTTGTTCCAGCCTGACAGTTTCCCCTTTCCGCTGCTCCTCTCCTGCACCACAGCCGGCACCTGAGCTCCTCACCCACGTGCACCACGCACCCAGTTCCACAGCAGGACACACAGACGCAGCAGGGAGGACGGATTTGGGGACAGCAGCAGCCCTGCCATGGGACAAGCACTCCTCCTGCCTCGTGCAGAGCTTTGTGCAGAGCTCAGTGCAGAACAGTCCAACAGCAGCGCCCAGCCCTGAGACACAGACTGAGCCCAGCCCTGTGGGAACCACCCTACTGCTGTCCTGGGGGCTCTGCAGTGGGTCTGTGCCAAGCAGCCCGCGGGGCCCTGCAGTTACTGCTCCCATTTCAGAGCCCGTGGGACCTGCTGCATACCACGGCCCTAATGGATCTTCCAGGACCCTCCTGGTGTGAGCATAGAAGCCAGGTGCAGGCGGGCTGATGTGCGGCACGAGGCTGCAGTGTGGGAAAAGCCATAGCCCTTACCAGAGGAACCTGTTAGTTATTTCAGATATACTACAGGGAAAACAAGGATAAACCTCCCCGTCCTTGCTGTGGCAGCTGGCCTGACCAAGGTTTATTAAGAGGGATTGCAGCTCCGCAGCGCTGTACAGGAGGGGTCTGCAGAGGAGATGCTCCCTGAGCACACTGCTGTGCCACCCAGAACCCGGCTCACACCACAGCAGGAAGTGCTGCATGCAGGTGGCATTGCAGATGTGCCCACACTGCCCGGCCCCTGCCCACGGCTCAGGGTGTGCAGGCGCTGCTGGCTGCACAGAGCTGGCGGCCAATCGGGTGGGATCTGGCCAAGGGTGAGTTAATAAACTTGACAGAAAGCTCCTTTACGTTTTATAATTAAAATAACTTCTCCAGGCCTGATGGATGTCCAAAAGCATCAGCGGCTGTAATGGGTTCTCCAGATCTGCAGGCTCACGGAGAGATGCTGCCAATCCCCCGGCACCGGCTGGCCCTGGGGAGCACAGCCTGCACTGTGCTGCAGCTGGGAGCAGGGATGCTCTGAGCAAAGCTCTTCCCATCGCCACTGCTTGCATTGGTCGGGGCTGTGAGCAGATGGAAGCACAGCCCTGTGCAATAGGGGATGATGCACCGTTGGGTCCGTCCTTGCTCTGTGCCCATGGCCACGCAGGGTGGGACTCCAGGGGCTGGCAGCTCTGTGCCGCTCTCTGGGTGCTGTCGGTGCGCCCCAGTCCTGCAGCAATGCCCCCCTGCTGGGTGCAGGGCTATAGGCAGGTCCCAGCAGGCTGGGTGCTCGTGGTTTTCCCCTTTGGCCATAAGGGCCCCGCGAAGCTGTTTAAAATTAAAAGCATTATTTAATTCACACCGGGATCAAAGCATGCGGAGGAGAGGGATTTCAGAGCAACAAACCACATATGAGCCCACATGTCACACCCCAGGGCCCGCTTTCCCCCTGACCCCAGGCTCAGGCAGCCCCTGCCCACTGCTGGCACAGCGCTGCAGACCCACCTGCCGCTTTGATCTCCCCGTCCCACCTCATCCAACACCCTCTGCACATCTGCCAAGGGGAAGTTCCTCCTCCATTCTCTAAAATCCTTTCTCCCCCAAGACCCCACAAACCCAACTCATCCCCTCGGCCGTCACAGCAGCACCACACAGAGCAGCTCAGCACCCGCAGCCCACACAAGTTCTGCAATAGGCACAGCCTCAGCTCTGCTGTATGCTTTCAGAGCAGCCGTTGGGCAAACAGGGGAGCACCAGCCCTGCTCCTGCCCTGAGCTCCCTGGGTTTGCCATGCAGGCGGCTCATGGACACCAGCACACACCTTGCTTCTTCCATACTGCATCCCCACCTGACATCCCATATCCCACAGCCACAGCAGTTACCCCTCACACGCTGCTCCACGGCACCCCAAGTGCCACCTTACAGCAGCTTGTAAAGAGCTGGAGCTACGGCCATGATGGAGCCCGTTTTGGAGCCGGTTAAAGTACCACCTGTTAAGGATTTACTGGCGTCCTAAAAGAACTTTTTAGTAACTTATTAAATGAAGCTGCAAAGAGGAATGGATAAAATACATCACCATGAGGGATGAGCCTCCTCGGGGAGCAGACCCTGACCCCATCCCCATCCCTGGGTGCAGAGCTGCTCCACGGGAACGGCACACACGGTACCAAAACGGCACCAAAATGGCACCAAAATGGCACCAAAATCCCTGCTTTAGCACTCACCACGCACACAAACAGCACCTGGCTAATGCCATGCTGCACTGTCCCAGCCCTTTGGAGCCAGGCTGAGTGATAAGAGCACAACCTTGGGGCAGCAAAAAAGCACACGGGAGACAGCCAAGGTTTCCATAGGAAAAAAACCTTTTATTTAACAATATATCAGGTTCCATCACGGCTCCATGGCGCTCAGCTGCCACAGAGCGGGTTACCGATGGCGATGATATGCTAGGGAGGGCCGGGAGAAGGCGAGAGGGAGAGAAAGAAGGGACATGGCGAGAAGAAACAAAAGCCTGCATCATGGGGGGGGGGGGCACACGGGGCAGCGGCATCAGCCCCCATCCTGCATGTGCCTGCAGGGACCCCACGAGGGATGCTATGCAGGGGGCGCGTGGGCACAGCTCTGAAATGCAGGGGCGGCGCGGGGTGCTGCTGTGCAGGGGGCAGGGTTGGGGCTGCCTGCTGGTTTCCCTGTGTGGCTTTAAAGCTCGGGCTCCCGGGGCAGCCGGGACTCAGGGTGCCCAGGGTTGTCACCTGCGCTGGGGGCGATGCCACCCCGTCCCCTGGCTGCCCCCTGGCAGAGGGAAAAAGGGGCCCTGCAACAGCAGCAGCTCTGCAGGGCTGCAACAGCAGAGCAGGACCTCAGGATGCCGCACGGAGGTTTTGGGGTTTCTATCTGCTTTGATGGGTCTTTTTAAAATAAAGAGAGACGAATGGGACGCTCCTTTCGCTGATGTTGCACTGCCCAGCCCTCAGCCCGCGCTCAGCACCCTCCTGCAGTGGGGCACGGGGAGCACCCTGCACAGCAGCACCCAGCACCCCCCCGAGGGGCACCGTGGGACCCCCGCAGGGGCTCTGGGGTGGATTGCAGTATGACAAATGTTTTTACACCCGTTCTCATGGTTAAATTTTTTTTTTTTTTCCTTTTTTTTTTTCCTTTTTTTTTTTACTTCTCTTTTTTTGTTTGTTTGTTTGTTTGTTTTTTTCTAAGAAAAAGCAACCAGAAAATAATTCAGAGTTTATACAAAACATCTTTACATTATTTCTTCCAAAAAAGACTACTATTTACACGAACCAAACGAAACAAAAAGGAAACAACAACGGGGGGGGGGAAACAAAAACCAGAAACAAAAACCAAAATACCAACAACCCAAAACCAAGCGCAGCGCTCACAGCGAGCAGCAGAAAGGGACGCCGTGTGCCAGGGCACAGCACTGAGGGCTCAGCCAGACCAGAAAGCTCCACTCCCCGCTCCTGCACACCTATTTACAAGGTCTGCCCATCTCCACCCACACCACGGAGCTGCAGAGGGGATGCGGCTGCTCGGTGATCGCCGTGAGGACGCGGCCGTCGGGTTTTGGCATGGGGCTCCTCACCCAGCCCTTCCCTCTATACATCGCCTCCCTCCCTGCTGCCACAGCCCCTGGGGACTTCCATACCGTTATTTTGGGGGGAATTTCAGGACTTTGCTTTAAATTATTATTATTATTTTTTTTTTAAGACACAATTTACCGCGATGGAGAGCAGAGCCCACAGCCTGGGGCAGCGCCGGCGCAGCACAGCATCTGCATAGACATCCGTAGGGGAAGGCAAAGGGCTGAGGGGGTCTGGAGGGCGTTCTGTGGGAGGGTGAGGAGAGAGGGATGCCCACACAGAGGAGGAGAGCAGAGCTGGGGCCGCCCGCACTGCTCCATCCCGACCTCAAAACAACACAACCAAAGCAACACAAAGGAACGCTCCGCTCAGGACCGCACTCCTGCCCCAACCCCTCCCCGATGGCACAGCGGGGCTGCCCCCTCCTGCCACCCCGGCCCTCTCCTCATCAAGGCACTTTGGCAGAGCAGCTCTCTCGCTCTTTGGGCACTTTGCAGCCCAGTTTGGAGCCGCAGGCACGTGCCCGGAGCAGGGCGAGAAGCGGGGCCAGGGGCACATGGCAGGCAGCAGCCCCCCCTCGCCCCACACTCACTCCCTGAGCAAAAGCAGCTACTTCTGAAAGGAAAAAGGAACGCGAGGGCTGAGAAGGGCAGGGCACAGGGCTGTTATCGCCGGCCCCAGCGTGCATCCAGGGTGGCAGAGAGCTGGGAGCGTCCCACCAGGACAGTCCAAAGCTCAGCCCTTCCACTTCAGGGCATGAGATGGGCCAGGCAGCGGCACAGCGCGGTGTGATGGGGGGGCTGGGTGAGCAACCAGGGGGGCTGGGCTTGGAGAAACTGCATCAGAGGCTGCGGGATGGCTGCACGTGGAGCACTGAGCGCTGCGGCACCGCAATACCTCCCCTGCAAACACGAGCCAGGGCACGATGAGGCTGAGGTGACAAGGAGGGGGGTGAAGCTCTCCGAGGGTGAGCAGCCCTACCTGGATGGATGAATGGAAAGATGGATGGAAGGATGGATGGATGGTGACCCAGACTTCAGCTTGCTCCTGGCAATGTCCTGTATGATTGTTTTCCAGTTTTGCTTTCCAAGGAGAAGCGCTGCAGGGCTGCACCCCGGGCCAGCCACCTGCAGCCCCAGCTCTGGGACGGGAGCGGTGACAAGGGACGTGCTGCCAGCCCTGCCCTCCCTGCACCCCCAGCTGCTCCACATTTTGCTTCCAGCAGTCCCAGCCTGACGGGAACCTGCAAGGGGCCTTCCTCTGCCCCATACTGCCCGGAGCCCTGGGCAGGAGGATGCCCTGGGGTTGCCCAGGATTGCTGCTGCTCCACAGGCAGAAGGAGTGCTTGGAGCCCCACGCGCTGAATGCTTGAGACATCATTTATGTGATTATTTTTTTTTTTTTCTTTCTTTCTTTCTTTTTATAAAGAGACTAAAACAAGAGTCAACAGCTACGAACACAAAAGTTTAAAACGGCAGCGGCGGATCTGCCTGCGCCAGCAGGACGGCGTGCTGGAAGGAGGCTGTGGCATGTGCCCAGGGCGGGGGGGTCCCGCCACGATTCACAAAAATAAAAATGTTACAAAAAAATTAAAATAATTATAATAATAATAATAGTAGTAGTAGTAAATCGGGTTTGCCAGCTTCCTCCCTGCACAGTTCTCTGCATCTCGGCACCTGGGCGAAGCATCCTCCTCCTCCCAGGGCTCCTCGCTGCTGCTCTCGGCGTCCGTCGCAGCTCCCAGGCCCCCCGCACGGGCACTTGGCGTGGAGGCGACGAGGGCAAATCCCAAAGTGCAGAAGGGGAGGTGGGAGTCCGCGGGTGCCGGAGGCGCGCAGGCGGGCGCGGGAAGGCAGAGCGCGCGCTGCAGCCACAGTCCGAGCAGGAGAGGAGGATGCTGGCGACTCACCCTCAAAGTCTTGGGATTACAAAAGCTGAGAACTACAAAACTAAATACAAAGAGGGAGAGGCAGCGCACGGGTGAGCACGGCGCTGCCAGGCGCCAGACCCCTGCGCTCCCGCGCCGTGCCGCGGCCGGGCACCACGCTGCCTCCCGCCGCCGGCCCCATCGGGCGCTCCTGCATGGCATGCCCAGGCTGCTCCTCACACCTTGTAGTAAATGTTGGCTGGGCTCTGAGGGGGCATCTCCTGCACGATGTAGACGGGGTGCCCGTAGTCCCCGCTCACCTTCTCGTAGTGCGGGCAGTAGTTGTTCTCTGTAGTCCGTAAGGGGATGATGATGTCGCTGGGCTCTGAGCCGGCGTTCCCGCTGCATTTGGGGCTGGCCAAGGTGCTGAGGGACAAGGCTGCGGCCCGCTGCTGCGTGTGCTTCCGGTGCCGCTTGCGGATCTTGATCAGGAGGACGACGAGGAAGATGATGATGAGGATGAAGATGACGCAGCCTGCGCCGATGGCGGCAAAAACGGCGACCTTGGAGCTCAAGAACCCGTCGCTGGGACCTTGGGTCTCCTGGCCGTTCTGGTTGACGGAGCCTGCAAGGAAGGGAGATGGGCGTCAGTGTAGCAGCTGGGCTCCCTGCCCTCCCACCCAGCCCCACATGGGACATCTCACAACCCCCCACCCCCGCCAGACCCAGCACACGGCTCAGCGCTGGGCCGTGACCGGGCTGCACCCTGGGAGCTCTGCACACAGTAAGGATCTCGGGGTCTGGTGCCCAGAGCCCTGCAATATCCGATGACTGACCCCCACCTCCTGCTGACCCTGGCCCCCGAGGGGCGGTCGCTTGGCTGGCTGCGCCGCGGGAGAAGAAAAGAGCAACTTTTCCCTACTTCATCTGATTTCACTTTTCTCTCAGCAGGGTCAGGAACTCAGGAAACCACCTTCAAAGGGCTTTCACACTGGCTCGGCTCAAAAACCCAAGGACCTCAACTCCTCCAAAACCTCTCAGATGTACGTGGAGGAACAGATGGGCAGCAGAGGGAGGAGGAGGAGGAGTGTGCTGAAACAGCACTTCTCTGCTGCACTGCTGCCAGCGCAGCCCGGAGCCAGGAAAACAGCCTGAGAGCTCTGCTCAGCAGCACCTCACTGGGCCACCGGTGCAGAGCGGGGCCGCGAGATGCTGGGGATGCAGGGATGCAGCAGGTGCAGGGATGCAGTGCCCAGCATCCTGCAGCATGCACGCCAAACTCAGCACGGAGCCACGCTGCCACCCCGCAGGCCGCACAGCTCCAGCCTGCACAGCACATTCCTGCAGAAGTTACCTGGCTTCCCAGGCTCCTCCACCGTGGGGACTTTGTGGCGTGGGCTCTGTGTCACGATTTTCACGGTGTTGTCTGCCTCCTTGCTGGGCCGACTCGTCGTCAGCTGCTCCGGGATCACCGCGTTTGGATCTGAGGGGAGGAGAAGTGATGGATAAGAAATCTCAAGACAACCTTACCACAGCTGGCCACCCCAACACAGCCACTCTGCTGTGGCTTAAACACACAAGAGTGGCAAGCCCAACGGTAAGAGAACCGTGACACAAGGATGCGGCCAGGGAACATCTGTGCAGATGGGCTCCTCCTGGAAGAGGCATGGGGATGCAGAGTTTGGGAGAAGGTGCTTCCCATCCCTGTCCCACACCCGACATCTTTTCATGCTTTCCAACCCCCTGTGCGTGGGCTGCATCGTGCTCCTTGCAGGGCAGCAGGAAGACCACGAAGGAAGGGAGGCTGCCAGGGCTGCAGCACTGCTTCTTTTGTTTGCTATAAATATTGGCCCCAACGTGAAAACAAAATAATGGGAAGCAGGCAGCAGGAGCTCTGCATCCACGGTGGGGCCAACACAGGCCTGCGGCATGGATGGAACTGGAGGCGCTCGGCAGCGCAGGAAGGGAGGCTCCAGGGCAGAGACCCTGAAGCCCATTGAATCAACTCTGAAAGTTGTCCATGCTCTCAACGGCAACTGGCCCGGCCTCATCGTCCCCAGAATGCAGAAACAACCTCATGCTGGGTCCAGGGCCCTGGTTCAGCTTCCCAACCAAAAAGACAGGCTGCCATAACACAGCTGGGGGAAGCTCCATCAGGAAGCAAAGCCATTTGAGGACAACTTGAAGGCCTACGATGGCGGCTGGGCAGAAAGGGAAATGGGAAGGGTTTTCAGCTCCTCTGTGGGTGTGGAGGGATGATGAGCACCCCAGGAATGGCAGCCTGCTGCAAGCTGCAACTTATTTGCATGGAAACAGAACCAATTCAACCTGACAGCCTTAGCAAGGAACAAAGCAGCTCCTCACCCCTCAGCTCCCCCAGCTTGCCTCGCTCAGACTAAACGCAGCCAAAGGAAGCCCTTCTCCTGCACCAGGCACTTGGTGCCCACAGACCAGCACTCACCCTGCCCCACTTTCATGACGATCTTCATGGAGCGCGTCTGGCAGACCCCTCCTTCCCGGTTCTCCAGGCCATCCAGTGTCCCATTAGAGGTGGCTGTAAGGGTGAAAGGCAGGGGTAACAGAGTTGTAAGGAACACAGAGTGCTGACAAGCCGGCTTTATTTAGCTATCTCCTGTCTGTGCCTCGTCCCCTTGGGCCAGCTTAGAACAATGCCAAGGAGCAGAGAAAAAGACATGTCCACCTCTCTGCACATCCCCTGCCCTACAGAACCATCTCAGGGTGGTTTCTGTAAAGCAGCATGAACGCTGCCCACATATTCACCCATCAGGAGCCACGCAGAGCACTCTCTGCAGCTCCAGGTTCCTCTGGTTGCAGCACAGTGCCCACCAGGTGCAGCACAAGAACATGAAGGGTTATTCCTCACTCATGGCTGCCAGTGGCCAGCACTGGGCAGGCCTGGCCCAGAGATGCTTGCAGCGGCGAGGATGTGAGCCCTCCAGCTTCCCCCTGCCACCACATCCACACAAGTGAGCCATTCTCAGTGCCTGCACCCTCCTCCCCCTTTAATTCCTGGCTAATTTCCTTTGCTCCTCGGTGTATAATAGGAACACATGCATATGCACAGTTTAAATTATACATATATAATTACACACTGTGCCTCAGTAAAGAATGTAAACTCAGAGCCCCAATGGGCTCGAATGGCTTTAATTGCAGGGCAGAAGTCAGTTAAATTCACATTAACTTTTTTCTTTAGCCGGCACAGATTTTTTAAGCCTCCCTCCTGTGGGAACACAGTGAGCTGCATCCCCTGGTACCCACAGCAGGATGGGGCATGGGAGGGGAAACCACCAAAGCAGCCAGGTCAAGCATCCACCAGGCAGCCTTAGAATCACAGTCTCATTCAGGTTGGAAAAGACCTCTCGGGTCACCAAACTCCAACCCATCCCACCATGCCCACCGACCGTGTCTCTCCATGCTACATCTGCACCATTCTGGAGCATGTTGGGCCACGGTGCAGCACCAGGATGAGGAATGGGTAATGCTTTGCAGCAGGGCCAGGGCAGGTCTGAGAGCCGTGGGAGCTCTGATGCTGTCTCCCTGTGGGGTTGGAGCCCTCAGGAACACAGCTGAGCTTGCAACGTGAGCTTGGACCATGCCAGAGCTGGGGCTGCAAGCCCTCTGTTTGGTCCAAAACCATCCTGCAATCCAACCTCAGCGAGCGTTTTGCTCATTAGAGCTTCTTGAGCAGCCAGCAGCCCATGGATGGAGCTGGATGCCCACAGGTCAGTTTGATAGGAGCACCAGCAGCATAAATGTCAATGCAAAGGTATGGGGAAAGCAGAGAAATGTCCCCCAGTGCTTGCATGAGTTCTTCCCAACTTGAGCAGAGTTCAGGCCCAAGCTCCAACAGCCCATAAAGACATCTGAGGGAGCACATTCCTGCAGGACAGACAGCAGCTCTGCACTCCAAGGCCAGAGGCACTGCTTTTGGGCTGAAATAAACCAAGATGTTCCATGAACCCTGCCCAGCATCACACTGCACCAAAAGGGGACACGGGCTGCTCCACACACACCTGGGGCTGCTCCATCTCCAACAGACCCCAGTCCTGCATCTTGGAACGGGGCAACACCATCCCACAGCCAGGAGCCGGGCGGCACCTCCTGGGGACAAACTCATTTCCACCTGCTTCCAGCCCAAACTGCAGCCTGCCCACACGTCTCATTGCCTGGAGCATCACAGCACCCAGCTCCACAGAGCTCCTGCACAGCCAGTGGGGCTGTGAAACAGCACTGCAACCACTTCCGCAGACCACGAGGTCTTATTTAGGAGGTGATAACTGATGATAGCAAAATGACCAAAAGAAAGCATGGCTGCAGTGCTGGAGATCTTGCAAAGCTAGAGCACGTGGCGACAGCAGGAGACGTCGATTTCTCCAAAATAACTCCACAGACATGGCTTTCAGACCAAAATATCAAATGTTCAAATGATATAAAAGAGTGCCAGATGGAGAATCACATGGATGGGCTGAAGAGGACACAGCTGAGCGTCCTTTCTCCCAAGCAGCATGTAAGACTTTGTTGAAGGAGCCTCTTCTTATCCCGATCACAATAATTACGAGTAGAAAAAGTAGCTTTGAAAGGGGAGCCACAAAAAAAAAAAAAAAAAGAAAAAAAAAAAGCAGCAGCTACTTGAGAGAACATGAAAGGGGCAGCAAAGAGGGCAAAACGCTCCCAAAAACCATGGCTGTCGTCTGCAGTGCAGCCTCTTGAATCAGGCCTGAAATGAGGACGTGCGCCCTCAGCTCCGGCTGGACCAAAATAGGCCACAGCCAAAGCACAGCTGGCAGCATGGGCAGCACAGCCACATCCCAGTGACATGGCAGCACAGCTTCTGACAGGCTGTATGTGAGCAGCGAAGGGAGACCCAGGGGCTGCTGCAGGGCTGTGGGCACAGGATGCAGTGCGCTGTGAGCAGCCCCCATGCAGGTTAGCAGGGCTGCTGGAGTAGCGCAAGCAAGGAAATAAGGACATTTCACGTGAAAAAGTCCTTTTGTCCAACGCACCTAAAATCCAGCTGGAACAAAGAGAGAAGGGCAGCTCACAGGTGCACCAGCAGGCGCTGTGCACGCCTTGCTTCTCACTGAGGATGTATCAGCAGCCACAGGAGTGGCTCAGGAGCAGCGTGCAGCCTGGGGAGCACCTTCCTGGCAATGACAGGAAAGCTCACAGCTGATGTCCAGGTATGGCTGGTAAGAGCTGCTAAGACAGGTGTGGAGCTGTGGCAGCAATGCGCAGCACAGATTTTAAATGGCATCACCAAACACAAAGCAACGCATGGGAGAGAAAGGATAAACATATATATACTGCACAGCAGGTTCAGTGAGGAGATTATCGCTTGGGTGGCATGCTGGAGACAGCCAGTAACAGCAACCACAGAAGCGAGGCAGAGCCACACACCAGCCACCAGGCAGGGTCAGACCCACTGCCCCCCTGTGCACCACATCCCTGCATCCTGCGGTACCATGAGGCTGCTGTAGGATGGAAGCAGCCCTAAGGCCTCAGGTGACTCGCAGGGCAGACCCCCAAAGCAACGCACGCAGCTGGGGAGATGCAGGGATGGGAACAGGCAGATCTCACAGCCCAGCAGTGCAGGCAGAGACAGGGCCGGGTACAGCAGTGCCCAGTGCCACCTTCCCACGTCCCTGCAGATCCAAGGGGATTCACAGCTCCTGTAGGACCAGGAGAACAAAAGCAGCCTCCAGACAAATCACTTCTACTCGGGCTTAAAGACAGCACAGCTCCCAGCCCGGAGAGCTATTAGATGCCTTTGCCTTAATGAAGCATTAAGCCTCAGGCTGCTGAGCGATGAGGATTTAACATTGATACTATTAACCATGTAATTGCTTGTCAATTTAGAAGAGATGCTCAGCCTGCGTGGAGCACAAGCAGGATCTCAGCGGGCTGACACTGCTCACCCCGCTCCTCGGGCACAGGACCCACCCAGCAGCAGCCCATGGCACACCTCAATGGATGGGCAGGACCTGCCATGGGGATGGGAGGGACCTCCAGCAGCACTCCCACTCCCATCCCACTGCACTCCCAGTGCATCCTCTTCGCCTTCCTACCACTCCACATAGAGCTGCACCATCGCTTTGTTTCCTCCACTAAAAATATTTCAGACAAGAGCTCGGTTTTGGCAAGTTGGAACCTCTGGAAGTAATACCTGGCAGCAGATAAAGGCAAGGGTCTCTTAAACGGTCAGCCTTGGACAGAGCGAGACGTTTGGTTTCTCTTCTGGATTCCCTCTAGCAGGACTCCGTTATGATTTGGGCCCCAAAGCACAATTAATGTGCTGAGACTGTAGCGAATCCAAGTCTCTTTCCTTTTATTATTCTTAATTACTCTTCCATCTGTGTACAACAGCCCCGCTCCAGACCCAGCCAAGTACCGCATGGATACGGCGCGGCCGCTGGCCTGCAGCCCTCCCTCACCCCCAGAAGTGTCAAAGATTCAGGTTTCCACACTCTATCTCACAGCCTGCAGCGGTGCTCACAGCGGATTTCCCTTCCTTTCGCTGAGCCCCAAGCCCTGCACTCGGATTGCACACACCTCTCGCACCCCTGGGTGCAGATCCACAAACGCACTCCAGGAAGCTTCGCAACAAAAACAGCCCGTGCCACCCTCCCTGCCCTCTTGTCTTTCCAGTTGTTTTCTGCACCCTCACACACCACACTGCATGGAAGGCATTGGTGCGTGTGCTGCAGTGCTGCTCAGCCCCACTCTGGAGCATCTTGCTCCCTCCTCCCCACTGGGGCAGGAGAGCACAGGGACATTGCAGGAGCGCAGGGACACTGCCAGCTCCCCCCCAGCAGGGACACCGTGTGCTCGGTCACATGTGCCTCCTTGCAAGCCACGAGGCACCAGCACACATTCCTGTTATGACCCCCATTACTTTACCCCTCCCCACTGATGCTGGGGGGAGTTGAGCCCCGCACGCAGCCCCCCGCACCCTCCCCACACACCGGGGACGGAGCTGTCGGGCTGCCAGCAGGGCTGGGAGCCGCCTCCGATCCCAACAGCAGCTGCGCCGGGAAGGGGCCCCGCAGCCCCAGCAATGCGCACGCATCCAGGCCGGCCCTGGGCTGCTGCAGGAGGCACAGGGCTTGGGTTTCACACGGCCGGCCAGCAGCCGGTGAGCCCAGCTCCACTCACAGCAGAGCTCATGCTGACGGCAGCGCTGGGGTTTGCTCCCACCCTGCACCCCAGAGCTCGAGGACCTGCTGCAGCCCCCAGCACCGTCCTGCTCGTGGAACGCAGCTTACAGTTAACGCTCCCTGTTCATTCCCTGCCTCCTCCTCTTTGCTTCTCCGGGTCCCACAAAGAGTGCTTGAAAAACGTGGATGTTTGCCACAGGACGCACCATCCCAGGAGCGCACGAGCTGGGACTGCAAGAGCAGCGGGGTGCAAACCCTTCTCACTTCCCAGCACTGTTTGCTGCCCCCACTGCCACAACCCACGCACATCACGGCTCCTCCAGCACCAACCCCAACAACAGCTTTGAACCACCAGCAAAGACAGCTTTTGTGGCTTTGC